TACGGTGGCCCACAGGGGACATGCAACAAACAATAAAGTTGCTGCATTTTTATATAATTTACTGCAAATAAAAAAAAAGTTGCTGCAAATAAAAAATTGTTGCTGCAAATAAAAAAAAGTTGCTGCAAATAAAAAAGTTGCTGCAATTAAAAAATAGTTGCTGCAAATAAAAAAATAGTTGCTGCAAATAAAAATAGTTGCTGCAAATAAAAATAGTTGCTGCAAATAAAAAAGTTGCTGCAAATAAAAAATTGTTGCTGCAAATAAAAAATCAAAATCGATGCGTGCGCATAGTGACCGAGGAAGACTGGTAATAAGTACCAGCTTCCGGTCTATCGCTGTCATTTTTTTGCACGCCTGACACGTTGTTGTCGATCCGAAGATCATAGTAAATTTTAAAATGTTCTGTTCGTCGTGTGGCCAATCCAGTGCTCCTAACGCACTATTTTGCCATAAGTGTGGAAAGAAACTAAATGCTGTAGAGGCTGCCGCTTATCCTCAACCAGCTAAAGCCCAGCTTGGCTCAGCCAGCTCAAGACCAAGTGGAAGTGGTGTCAAGACTGAAAAATCGTTGACATTTAAACAGTTTCAGTCAAGAAAACGAGAAGACAGATCAAGCCACTTCACAAAGAAGGGCAAAAAGCCTAAGCTTGACGACGATACCGAGGTAAAAATTAACGTTGGGATCATGGCAACAAAAGCTGGAGCTTTGGCGACCAAGAGAGGTCTTACTCTCCCTCTCACGGTACGTCAGGGAATAACCTCGGAGGAGCTGCTACAAAAGGCAGTTGAAAAACATAGCCGGTTCAATAACGATGTGATCAAAAGTAGCAATAAGGCAACCTACRAGATTCTGTATGGTGATAAATCGGTGGTGACTAAATTGCCAGGAAGTGAAGAGGCGTTCACCCTAAGAAGGTACAAAGAAGAAATTGACAAGCCTTATTCGCGGATAACATTTTATTTGTGCACAAATTCCGATTACTTGGAAAGCCTTTGCAGCACCTTCGACTTCGAATCTGATTCGGATGAATCATACCAGGGTGACCCACAAGAAAAAGTTACCGAGAACACGAAATCTGAACAAGAGGTCGAAGAATCACCGAAACAACAAAAATCTGCTTTGCTTGATCAAGATCAACATGCAGATTGGATGTCAGCACCAGTTGTGGTTCTTGATCGACCGTCTTCTTCAAAAGCACCAGTTGTGGTTCTTGATCGACCGTCTTCTTCAAAAGCACCAGTTGTGCTTCTTGATCATCCGTATTCTTCAAAAGAAAAAGAAGCACAGTGTCCAATTTGCTGTTTGAATTTTTCTGTTAGCCAGATTGAAGAACATGCAGATACCTGTTCATCCTGGCTTATAGAAAGTGAGCAGCCATTTGACCTAATTTCCACAAATGCTGTAGAAGACAAAGCGATGACCAACCTGGCAAAAGATCCTTTTGAGAATAAAATATTGTTGAAAGAGCAAATAGCACAATTGGTGTCTGGATCAGTGACAGAATACACAAGAGTCACTTTAAGGAGAAAGTTCATATGGAATGACTTTAAGKCTGCAAGGCATAGTAAAATTCAACCCAACTCCAATCTAAAAGTGGTGTTTGTGGGGGAGCCATGTATTGATGATGGTGGTCCAAAGAGAGAGCTTTTTACAGGTAACTGAAATGACTTTAAATACTAAACTTACATATGTGCAGTGGAATCCTGTGAACATGAACCATTGATGTCTCAAGTTTCATACTATTATAATTATAAATTGTGTATGCCAGGGAGTAATTGGACAAGATTCTTATAGGTTTGTCCTGCTGGAGTCCAAAACCCTGATCCTATCTATTGAGGCAGCCATATCTTGGAAATCCATACCCTTTTTATGACAGATAGGTAAAACATTGACGGCATCTAAGCCTCAATGAGAAATTGAACTCCTGGGGTCAACTTTCAACTGAGTTAGTGGTAGTCCTGCTAATGGACTTTTTCATTTTCACAAAAGTCAAAATTTATTACCCTATCTATACAAAAAAAGTGAAAATTAAAAATTAAGATCCTTGCTGGGATTATAGACCCTATTCAAGACAATTGAAGCTGAAATCATGCATACATTAGTTAGACAAGAAGCTCAAGAACTGTACCCACCCCCCCCCAAACCAGCTACCTGAGTGAATGAACATAAAGCTATATTTTTGCATTTGCTTCTTGTATTTACTACTCTTGCATTTTGATAAGATTAATTAAACCAGCTTGCCTCTATAGCATACTGGCTTTACAGCTAAAATAATTAAAACTGGTTTATTGAATATTTGGGATATAATTAGAGAAATCATTATTATAATAAAAATAATAGCAAATGGTTTTAATTTTTTTTGTTTTTTCATTTCATGGTAGTTATAAATTAATCATCTCAAAAGTAAAAGAAGTTAAAAAAGACAATAATAATTGGTAAACAAACTAGGTTTACTTGAATATAATCAATTGATAAAGCATACTAGATAATAGATACTTACAGTGACTGCACATGTTTTATATATTCAAGTTTTATTTTTTTTTTGCAAACAAAATTTATTTCACAGAATTGATGGCCATCATGCAGCTCAAGTTTTTCAAGAATGGTTTTCCAGTTAGCTCTTCTGTAGCACTGAGTAATGGAGACTTTCAACTTTGTGGTGAAATAATGGCAATGTCCATCTTACAGGGAGGTCCAGGTCCAAATTTTATGGCTGCACAAGTTGTCAGTTATCTGGTTGGAAAACCACTTTCAACAGATAAGAACAAGCAGCATCAACTGAAGACCGTTGCTGATAGTGTAAGTTTAAAGTATTTTATTCAGCAGTCTATGTTCTCTATTGAATAAATTAATGCCTGGGAAAATTTATAGAAATATATGAAAAATTTTGCAGTTGGTCAATGCATCAAGTGATGAGGAAGTAAGGGAACTTTTGACGAGTGAGGGTGTCCTAGATGTTCTTRAAGAAATAGGCTACACTGGAATCCCACAGAAGGAAACATTGTTTTCTGTAAAAGAAATTGTACAGTAAGTTCCTCCTAAAAAAATTCTGCAACTTTTAAGTTACTGGAAGGAAAAACAATATTTAAAAATATATATACATAAGTCTTTTGTTCTCGAGAGATAACAAATAGAGCTCAAGTAGTGTGGTTTGAAAACAAAGTCACCCAAAAAGAACTTTTATTTATTTWTTATTTATTTCCCACCAGTAACCAAACACCACAATATTCGGATGGATTTTTAACTAACTTTTCGTCGTTGGATCATTATGAAATTCACACACATTATTTTACTTAGATTGAAGTTTATAATAATATAAAACTTAAACAAATCAACGTTAGAGGGTGGCAAAAAATGGGAATCATTGAATTCACATGAACCTATGTTCTGAGCCTATATGTATAACATACTGCCTTCATGTTCAACAGATCAATATGCATGAAAGACCAATTAACAGAACAGTTGCCTGCACTTCTTCAAATCCAAAATGGCCTACAAGTATGTGGGTTATTAAAGTGCATTAAAAGCCACCCTGATGTTTGGCAACCAGTATTTGAAAGCAATACTGCTTTCGCTATTACAGCTGATGAATTTTTGGACCAGCTTGATGTAAAATACAGTGCATCCCAAATCAAAAAGGATCCAGAGATTGACACCTTCAAGTTCTTTTGTGACACCATAGAGAAAATTGATGCAGGTTTGCATATTGATATTTTAGTCTCTGAATTAGAAAAGTTCCCATACAGCAAGATTCAGCCTACAAGTTTATGTAAAAAGTGCAGATGTTTTTTACAGTATATTTACATCAGCTGCAGAAATTTGTCTTCCTAGATGTAGCTTGCATTAAATACAGCAACTGATACTGTCTAAACAGTCTTTACTAGTTTCAGAGATGCCCTCCTTGATTTCAAAGTCCGGAGAAATGAAAAAACAATTACAAGCCTGAATCCAGTTATACAGTACTATGTTTTATACTATATCATGTATTTTAATAATAATATGTTATTCACATTTTAGAAATTGGTGATTTGGAGTTGAGGGATATCATCAAGTGGCTGACTGGAAGTTATGACATCCCCCCACTTGGATTTCCAAAGAAGTTCCAAGTAGAATTTGTTCATGGTTGCTTGCCTGGATGTTGTTGTCGGCCAACTGCTTCAACATGTGATATCACCATAAAGTTGCCGGTACACATAAATAGTCCCAAAATTATGGAAGAGATGATCTACTCTTCAATTAAAGAAAGTCATGGGTTTGGATTGTTATAAATCCAATAATCATTAGTGCTGTCACAAGTTTAGAATATGCACATTAATGTTGGTGAGGGAAGTTTGCTTTTAGGTTTAATGTTCATGTTGTCCATTTTACAGTTCCTCTCAGTTACTCCAGCCTCAATAGAGTGTAATATATTCTTTAGTTTTTGACTGCAGCCTGTGGGAGTTTAAAAGGGTCTCAAGCCTGGAGTAACCGAGAGGAACTGTAAAATGGACCATGGCTATTAGATATGTTTCTTTAAAAACGTTGAATTTAATGATATGAAGGGTTTTTAAATTGGAGTTAATAAATGTATTTATTATCACTTTTGTGCAGTTCCAGAAATTATCCATATACGGGGGATTCCTTAAGACACCCCCCCCCCCCTTCTGGAAATTCCGTACAAACTCTGAAATTTTTTAATTTTTCTAACCTCCCCCTGACCCCTAGGAAATTCCAAATTCCTCTGGAGGGGGGAGGTAACTATGGATAATTTCTGGAACTAACCCATTGTTTGTTTAATTTTGGATAATTGCTTTAGATTATTATAAGATTTAAATACAATATTGAAATACAATTTTGAAATGTTATTAGTTTATAGGATTGTTGCTTAGGTATTATTTCACATTGAAAAGATTTTTTTATCATTTTCAAATATAACTTTTTTCTTACAAGTTATTCCAATTTTGCTCCAACTGTTTCTTGATCCCATGATCAGATACATAATAAAGAAATGTATTTCACATAATACAGTTATAATGGAAAATAAAGAGTGAAACATTTTAAGCATGGGAATCTTCCATCAACATATTTTGATTACCAGAGGAAGAAGATATACTATAACAGATACCATATAAATGTCATTATTCTAGTTAACTAGGTACCAGTTGTATGAAAGTTAATAAAGTATATTGAATTGATTAACAAGTTATGCTGTTCAGTCCCATAACTCTAAGAAGTTAAACATCAGCCTGTAATTGATTGAGACACTGATAGAGGTTAAAAGCTTCTGATACAGTATTTGGATAATGCCAACCTTTCCTTTCCATAATGTATTCAAAATATTCATAATATACATCTTCCTCCATTTCCATTTCACACTGTGGCTCAACCTCTTGTATCTGTGATTTTGAAATGGGTATCAGGCAATCAACAGCATCTGAATTTTCAGGTAAGAAATAAAGGATGTCTGGTACTCCTGCAACTGTATCATGACGAGACCTTCTGATATAATGACTGTTCCACTGCTGAACGACTTCATCCAGCTCCTTTTGAATTACTCTTGAAAAACAAAACCAAAGGCATTCCATGTGGAAAGAATTTCCAAGTTCAAGAATACCAGATTCACACATGTCTTTGAAACAATTGATCCACCAATTTGAGTTGCTTCGTCTAAAAAAAGACCACCAACCTTCAATACGCTGGTTTGATGGTGAAGAACCATACTGGTGAGCTTTTGAAGCTGCAAATTCATCATTTCCATTRGCTCTAAAATAAGATTGCATAGCAGCAACAAGAACATTCTCAGTGCCACAATCTGAACGTACAAGTCTTGGACATCCATTTGCATTTTGAACAGCATCCAAGAACAATCTAGCTATGATCTTTGGATTATTGTTTGATTTTACCAGTTCCAGCCAAATTATTCTTCTGCTATATCCACATATACAGCCATGGATTGGGAACCCATATGGCTTCAGCTTGTCATAGCCTATGAAGTTAGAAAATAGATAATCATTGTCTTATTTTATTTTATGAAGTTAGACAATAGACAAAGTCTTATTTTATATTTTTATTTAGCATAGACAAACTACAAGGATATCTAAAGCCCAAATGGTCTATGAGTCAATAGCTCATTCGGCCTTGTAGGCCATGAGGGCGAGAGGTCTGATTATTTGGGTAAAAACCTACTAATGGGTCCAATAAAYGGTTACAAAAATGTTGAACTAAGAGTGGAATAATTTATTTTCTGCGTTTTGGTTTTCAAAACTGTCACTTTTTTCGCTCAATAGACCCCTAGTAGCTCAGCCAATCAGAGGGATGGATTAGTGATAGACCGTTAGTAGGTTTTTAATAAAATACTGAAAACGAAAACAATGGAGGGAAAAAACTACATCAAGCATTACCGTCAATGTGCCAGCAGAAGTTCGGTCCTCTAGAAACATAATTTCTTCTGGTCAAACGCCTTGAAAYTCTCTCCTTTACACCGTCTGGATCAATTTCTTTCATCATACTGGCAACCACATTGCGGGGGACATTCATGTGATACCTTAAGCGTAGGGCATGCCAAATGTAGCGATAACCAACAAGTGATCCAGATCCTTGAATTTCTCGCTTAATCACTTCTCGAACAATGTCTTCATCATACTTAGGTTCTCTTCTCTTCAAGTCTAATTGTCTAAGCTTCCTTTTAAGCGTTCTAACATGCATTCGTATACCATGATGTTTTTCCAAAAAGCCTACAATTACATTGTAGGGATATCCACGATGAAAATACTCTGTTATAATGTCAAGTTCACTGTCTTCCTGACCATCTTCTAGAGTGGCGCTTGCCTGCTCACCACAATTATGGCAAAACTTTGCTTCTCTCACACAAAGTGTACCACAAGTAGAACAAAAACCCATTTCAGGAGTCAACTTTTGTAGATAACTGTAGATTTATAATCAACATCATCAACATGGTGGACTTGCAAGACAGACGACTGAGACAGACCGGAACTTATTACCAGTCTTCCTCGGTCACTATGCGCACGCATCGATTTTGATTTTTTATTTGCAGCAACAATTTTTTATTTGCAGCAACTTTTTTATTTGCAGCAACTATTTTTATTTGCAGCAACTATTTTTTTATTTGCAGCAACTATTTTTTAATTGCAGCAACTTTTTTATTTGCAGCAACTTTTTTTTAATTGCAGCAACTATTTTTTAATTGCAGCAACTATTTTTTTATTTGCAGCAACTTTTTTTTATTTGCAGCAACTTTTTTTTAATTGCAGCAACTATTTTTTAATTGCAGCAACTTTTTTTTAATTGCAGCAACTTTTTTTTTATTTGCAGTAAATTATATAAAAATGCAGCAACTTTATTGTTTGCTGCATGTCCCCTGTGGGCCACCGTACAGAACTGACTTGATATTTATACCTAACGGTGCTTTGTTTGTACGAAATCATATTCACGGCTTGTAAAAAAATGCTTTAAGTTGGATTTTCTTGGCCAAACTCACTTTAATTTTGAAAATTTTAGTGAAACTCAAAGGAACTAACCTAGACGTTTGATAAGTAATATACAGTATTCGCGTCCGTTGTATCAGATATACAATCACTCGGCTACGCCTCGTGGTTGTATATCTGATACAACACGGCCACTCATACTGTATATATTACGTCCAAAACGCTATATTGAATGTGTGTTATATTTTATTGTCTACACCAAAACGCKAATGAAAGTTTGACTAACGGTAATGAACCCACGCAAACCTATTCATGATTGTCAAATTCTATGCTAAATTTCTTAATGAACGTTCCATCGGACTATTGAGACTCCGTTCGCCTTATTGTATGCCTGTTCGCACTAATGACAATGCTTCTTCGCTTCAATAAATATTCCTTTGCGGTTAATGAACAGCAAAAGGTGCACRGAGCGTCAGCAGATTTTGAACATGTCATGATCTTGATTTCTCAATGTTTGATGAAGAAGAGATTGTTAATGGTAAAGATCTTCAGTGGTGTGTGTTTCATCTTTGGAAAACAAGCTCAAAATATGTAAAGAGGCCTACCCCGGGTCATTAAGTCGCCTTAAATCGCCTTAAATCGCCTAAAGTCGCCTTAAAATGCCTTAAGTTTGATCTTTTCAGACTTATTTTTTGCATTTTTGTTTTCATTACTTCTATCATTCATGCATTCATGCATTATTTGACCACCATTACCAGAATGCTTTGCAAATTCCCTCGTGAGAAAAATAAGAAAATTGATAAAATGAACAAAACAAAGGAATTCTGGTAGCAGAGGTTCATGACACCACAATGCAAATGTCCTAGCTATTATAGCAGAGCACTCATAGTCATATAAATAATAAAAAACTGGCATAAACTCGACATATAATATTATGTAAATATTTAAGACATGTCCCTTAGAGTACAAACACAATAAGTGTGTAACATAAATACCACTAAATACTAAATTATGCTAATCCTATTGTTTTCTATTGGTTAATTAGCACTATTTACTACTGAGTAGCTATTACCAATACCTGTTTCAATATCATATTGTAAATAACTTTGAAAAAGTATGGTAATAAAGCTAAATCATCATCATCATAATCATCATCGAGTGTTGCACACTTTTAGTGTTTGTACTCTTTAAGCAATAGAAAAC